CAGTCTTCAGGCAGGTGGGAACTGTCTCCAGGGTAAGTGAGGTGTTAAAGATGTCTGCCAGCACCTCACAGAGCTGATCAGCACATTCCTTCAACACTTTTCTGAGGATATTGTCTGGGCCAGTTGCCTTGTGCGGATTAATCCTCCTGAAGGTACTCCTTACTTCTGCTAAGGTCACGCTGAGATGCTCTTCATCCGGTGGTGAGGTGAGTCTGGTGCTGGGTGGTCTGTTCGGGTCTTCAAAGCGTGCATAGAACTTGTTGATCTTGTTGATGTTGAGATCTGTTTGGACTGACAATAAAACATGGTGAAAAGTGACACATAGGGTTTGGAGACAAAAAAAATCCTAACACGCTCTTAATCTTTAGTTGAAGGTCAACAGCGTGATAATGAAAAAAATCTTGCACACTAGCACATAATGACGCCAACATTACGTGTGTGGGGTGGGGGGGTGGGGGGGACGCAAGGACGGTGAGCAGCCAGAGACAACACACAGAGGCAGAGAGGTTGTGCAATATGCAGACAGAAGACTCACTCATGTTCAGTGACAACAATAAAACTTGTCTTCAGTCACTCGTTGCGTCCTCTGGTGCAGACGTCTCTCCTGCAGGTTACAGAGAGGAGGTTCTGATCTTTATACAACATTCTTCATGTTTTAAACCTGATAACCAGCAAGTGTGTCCTCCTCACTGCCTCTAACTGCTGCTTTCTAACCACCTCTGAGCTGTGATTCATACAACATGGCTGCTCACATGCACGTGCCGTGCACTGATTGCTGTCAGTCCAGACTTTACATGAAACAGTCTGACCCACAACTCCTCTGTCTTCATGTGTAGGACGTCAACGCAGAGTTTCACACAGGTAAACAAACTCAATCTTCTTTCATTTTATATTTATTTTATTTATTGTATCAATGTGAGACACTTGATGTTTGCTACATGTTAACAGACTAACAGTCCTAACATTTGGATCAACATGACATTGTTGCTAATTATTGTCTTTCATGACATTTATCATAAAGTTGAGCATATTTTATACCTTTTCATTCGGTCTTTTACTAACGATTGGTTGCTCATTTTTTTCTAATGCCCATTATTTCCAAATCATTATCATTCAAATTTTTTATATTTCCTTTAAAGCCCCCTTCATGAGTGATCAGAACCAATCCGAGCTCCCTACGGCCCAATTAACTGTGGCAACCGTCAACACTGACGCTCCACTTTTACATCTTGACAATAAGGCATGTTTGGGGGAAGGGGGGCAAATCTTTTAACACCCCACCAGCTGATCTGAAAGAAAATCAGAGAGCTGTGAAGTGATGATTAAATGATTATAAATTCATCCATAAGCATAGATATAAGAAGGAGTTGTGATGCTGCTGACGTTTAATCATTTTCTGCTCAGGTAGAATGGGATGGTAGGAAGAATTTGCTGCTATAATGGCTAAAGTTTCTGCTATAATGGCTAAAGTTTCTGCTGTAATGGTTAAAGTTTTGGCTATAATGAAGTTTCTGTTATAATGGTTAAAGTTTCTGCTATAATGGCTAAAGTTTCTGCTATAATGGTTAAAGTTTTGGAATAATGGTTAAAGTTTTGGCTATAATGAAGTTTTGGCTATAATGGCTAAAGTTTCTGCTATAATGGCTAAAGTTAAAGCTATAATGGTTAAACTTTTGGCTATAATGGCTAAAGTTTAAGCTATAATGGTTAAAGTTTTGGCTATAATGACTAACGTTTTGGCTATAATGGCTAAATTTTCAACTATAATGGCTAAAGTTTCAGCTATAATTGTTAAAGTTTTGGCCATAATGGCCAAAGTTTCTGCTATAATGGCTAATGTTAGAGCTATAATGGTTAAAGTTTTTGCTATAGTAAAGTTTTTGCTATAATGGCTAAAGTTTTGGCTATAATGGCTAAATCTTTTGCTATAATGGCTAAAGTTTTGGCTATAATGGCTAAATCTTTTGCTATAATGGCTAAAGTTTCAGCTATAATGGCTAATGTTTTGGCTATAACGGCTAATGTTTCAGCTATAATGGCTAATGTTTTGGCTATAACGGCTAATGTTTCAGCTATAATGGCTAATGTTTTGGCTATAACGGCTAATGTTTCTGCTATAATGCCCCCCCCCCCCCCATCCCCTTTGCACCACGACAGGGAACAAAATTTGTAATTAAGTGTAATTGGCTCTTCATTCGTTGTTCTGCCATAAATTATTAAAATGGAATTGATAAGAAACTTTTGGAAGGTGGCGAATCAACTAATGGGGGAGTGGTGGCGGAGAGGTTAGAGAGGTGGGCTTGTGATCCGAAGATCGCCGGTTCACGCCCCGGCCCCGACAACATCAAAATTGTGGGTGGGGTAGGTGAAACACCCACACTTGCCCCCACCCTCATTCGCCCCACTCTGGGCCCATGAGCAAGGCCCTTAACCCCCACCATGTGCTCCCTAAACAGGTCTCTCTTGAAAATGAGTTCTCGTGGCTCAATGAGACTACCTGGATAAATAAAGGCTAAATGAAAAAAAATAATGAAGCTCTGAAAGTTGGAGCAGATGAATGAACGCAGTAATTCCAAGTTTGCTGCAGAAACCATAACTGTGGACCAGTTCCTTGTTTCTTTTGTTCTGCTTGCTACGATCCCTTTGCTTTAGAGTTGTAGAGAATATGAATTTATTCAGTGAGTCCTGAGCTCACCTTCCTGTTGACACACAATGAGAAGAATCAGTGTTTTCTGTTCCCACCATCAACCTGTTTATGAGTTGAAATAATGGGCTGAAGACTTATTGAGCAAAGCATATGTAATAATGCTTCAATCCTTTGTCTTTAAAAGGTCGACTGTTTATCCAACATGGCTGCGCTAGTCTTTAGTATTTTCACTAATTCTTTTTTGTTCCCAGATGTGCTGCATCACGTCCTGTCGCCGGTCCAAGATGTCCCGCTGTTCGTCTCGCGGGCTAAAGCTAAAACCTCTGCAGTTTGTGAAGCTGAGCGTGATGAAACAAAAAAAGGTACAACAGAGCAGATTAAAATATGAAACGATCTGTTGAAGAATGATTAAAACTGAAAGGTGAAGAGCAGTGAAATATGGTCAATTTTAATGCAACGTCTTTAGTTTTATAGACATCTGTTGTCTCGTGCACATGTTGCCTGATTTAACTGAGAAGGCCTCATGGTTTCAAACCTCATGTCACCGTAATCACAATTATAGACCAACAACACAGGAAAATGTTATTTTTGATGGTTTCAGTCTTGTTTTCACACAAAAACAGTTTTTAAGGAGCTCATATCACCGTTACGTTTTCATTTGGACAGCCAAAACACAACCATTGATGTAGCATCCCTACCTCTGACCTCACCTACGACCCCGGGCGTGGCAGACACAATAAAAATAATACATACTAACGTTAGATCAATTACAGCAGACACTGTGCTAATGGTGCGACCAGGGCTTAGTTTGAGCCGGCTCCTGCAGGAACAGGATCCAGGAACTCTCAGGGTGCGTTCCGGTAACTGTTTGCTTGGATCCGGTAACTCTCAGGTTTACTAATAATAAAGTTATGAACATATTTGATTGCCTTGAATGAATAAAACCTATATTGGATATGTAATCTGAAAATAATTACATAAACACTCGTTTTAAACACAACAGCCTCTTACGAACTTCCTAATATCACATCAGAGCTGCTCCTTCAAGTAAGCAATTCTGCTTCTACCATAAAAAATCTCTGTAAAAAAAGTACAGTCATGAGCAATTTAATTAAAAACACTAAAGCATAATTGAACAGCACAACTAAATTTCAAATCAATTTTAGAGTTTAAGTGAGTCATTAATAAAATTTTGATTATTTACACAAGAGAAATGTTTGATGGGTAATCACGTTACGTTCATCATGTATCAAATCGATGGCACCAATTTATGAAAATAATAGTGATCGAAATGACAATCCATTTGACTTTAATAAAAAAAATAATTTAAAAAAGTCTTCTCATTGTACAACTAAACACCCGAGATTTGAAGCACATGAAGGCAGTGGCAATGGAGATACTGGAGTAGGTGGAGTGGTGTGGGTGAGTGCCGAGCTAACCAGACTGTTGTACCCGGGCAGGAGCCCACGGGCAGCCGCCATGAACAGCCTGAGGAGGAGTCTGGAGTTTCACATATGGAGGAGGACAGTAAATTCTGCGGAGAAGAGTTGGCTCAGAACAATCAAGTTAGGGATGCCCAACAATATGGACCCCACCCCTACCCGCACTATTTGCGTTCCGGCATCGTTCGGTTTACAAATTAAGCATGAGTTCACTGAACTGACAGGAGTGATGACAACCTGAGCAGAGCTAAAACCCACTAACTGTTACACCAGATAATGTAAGACCCAAAATATTTTTATTACATTATTTGAACTGTCAACAATCCTACAACATGAGGTGCAGAAAAATCAAGTACTGTACTGTGAGTCAAGTATATTGACAATTTGAATACAAATTCGCGTTGACTTGGGTTATAAAATCACCAGTTTTCAGGCTCTCCTTTGAACTGAGGTGTATTGAACCCTGACAGGAACCTTACGGTACCTTCTGCCTCCCGTCCTGCAGCTGAATGAGCAGCCATCAACCTGGTTCTGTTAAAAAGGTGAACGATGACACAATCATTTTAGCTGCAGGACTGAAAACTGACTACAGGAGTCGGCAGGGGTTAACAGCTCAAAGGAAGCTGCAGGAAAAGAACATTAACTCATTGCAAGTTATTTTGAACCCAAATCAAAGACAAGTCTAATCTACTCTAGTCTTATCCCAAATATTTTAAAGAGCTGCCAGATTCAAACATGCGCAGTGGACAAGCAGGACAGGTTGTTGTTGACGAGGTGATTTCATATTTTTTTTAATTTTCTTTTAAATTTTCCAAACAACACTTCAGCCTGTGTCCTGACATCACTGAAGCTTGTTCAGAGCATTTCTTTTTGTCTCTCGGCATTCTGTCCAGATGGTGTTTGATCCCACACAGCAGCTGACACACAGTCAAACCCTGAAAGGGAAGAGCAGAATCTCATATTTCTCCTCTCAGATCATTAAAGAGCTCGATAAAATCACGCTTGATGATTTGTACATTGATGCAAATCGCTGCATGTTCTGAGTCAAAATCCAGTTTGAGAAAACTTAAATGCAGTTCTCCTTTTGGCAGCTTGATGTTTTGGTTCAGTAACACAGCAGAAGAAGGATCAGGCTGTGAGCTCACTGGCGCCTCCAGCAGGCAGATGCCAGGTATCGAATGCCTCGTCATGGCTTTTTGACCCCAGTAGGAAAGTGAAAAGGGGAATTGGAAATACCCTCTGTCTGTCCATCCTTCTTGGTAGCATGATAACTTGAATCATATGTGAAGAACCAATATACATTTTGGTGTGTGACTACATCAGAGGGTAAGAAGGTTCCTTTTGAAAATTGGGTTGCCTGGTCAAAGAACAAAGGTCAAAGAGTCAAAAGACCACAAGGAGAGAAACGTGTAAGGAGACATAGGGAGAAGAGGAAAGTGAAGAATGTAGGACTCAGGGTTGCAATTCAAAATGTGGGGACAATGACAGGCAAAGGTAGAGAGCTGGCTGACATGATGTAGAGAAGGAAGGTAGATGTTTTATGTGTCCAACAGACCAAGTGGAAGGGCAGCAAGACTCTGCATTGGAGCAGGGTTCAAACTGTTTTACCATGGTGTGGATAGAAAGAGAAATGGTCTAGGGGTGGTCCTAAAGGAGGAGTTGGCAAATAATGTAGAGAGGTGAAGAGAGTGTCAGATAGGGTGATGTGTCTGAAGGTAGAAGTAGAAGGTCTGATGCTAAACATTGTCAATGGTTATGCTCCACAGGTTGGATGTGATGTGGAGGAGAAAGATACATTTTGGAAAGATCTGGATGAAGTGATAGAGAGTATTCCCTGGGAGGAAAGAGTGGTGATTGGAGCAGACCTGATTGGACATGTTGGTGAAGGAAACAGAGGGGATGAGGACGTGATGGGTAGGTTTGGTGTCAAGGAAAGAAACCAGGAAGGACAGATGGTGGATTTTGCCAAGAGAATGGAAATGGCTGTAGTCAACACTTATTTCCAAAAGAGGGAGGAACATAGAGTAACCTATAAGAGTGGAGGAAGGAGTGCACAGTCGACTACATTCTGTGTAGAAGAGGAAACCTGAGGGAGATTGGATACTGTAAGGTTGTGGCAGGAGAGAGCGTGGCCAGACAGTATTGGATGGTTGTGTGTAGAATGACTGTTGTTGTGAAGAAGAGAAAAATAATAAACTCAGAGAAGTCCAAATGGTGGAAGCTGAAGAAGGAAGAATGTTGTGAGGAGATCAGAGGGGAGCTGTTAAAGGCTCTGCGTGGTAAGAAAGAGCTTCCAAATGACTGGGCTACTACAGCAACAGTAATTAGAGAGACAGGTAGGAAGGTACTTGGTGTGTCATCTGGACAGAGAATGAATGCTAAGGAAACCTGTTGGTGGAATAGTGAAGTGCAGGAAACCATTCAAAGAAAGAGGTTAGCCAAGAAGAAATATGACAGTGAGAGGACTGAAGAGAGGAGACAGGAATATAAGGAGGTGGGACCTAGAGCAAAGAGTGAGGTAGTTAAGGCAAAGCAGAAGGCGTTTGATGAGTTGTATGAGAGGCCGGACACTAAAGAGGACAAGAAGGACTTGTATTAATTGGTAAGAAAGAGGGATCAGGCTGGAAAGGATGTGCAGCAGATTAGGCTTGTTAAAGATAGGAATGTTAATATTCTAACAAGTGAGGAGAGTGTGACGGGAAGATGGAAGGAGTACTTTGAGGAGCTAATGAATGAAAAGAATGAAAGAGAAAGAACAGTAGAGGTCATAGAAATTGTAGAAAAGCATTTAATTATGTCTACAAAACATTATCTTGGAAAAAATGAAGGACACATCCTACAAAAATTGCATTGCATTTACAGCAATAATTAGAAAACAAATAGTAGTGGAGGTTTCAGTTGTTTTACCACGTGTCAACAAGTTTAGATTTTTATTTATAAAAATGTATGCATTGTACCATGTATCTTTTTTTCTCTCCACATTACATTTGTCCTGTACATTTATCCTGTGTTGGTCTATTCACATGGAAACTCTAAAATAGTTAAATGTACTTGTAACCTGACACAATTGACAGTTTTTCAAGGTCCTATAGCAGGTGCAAATGATGTCCAAAAAACGGGAGCCAAAACTGGTGCTGCCCTGTCTTAGTGAATCCAGACCTGAAGACAGGCAGATAGGTATATGCTGTGATGAACAGAAATTGGGGCAAATTTAGCTGCAAAATTAAACTCAAGACTGCAATCCTGACAAATGAGGTTATTTTTGTCTGTTTTCTTCCAATGCTTGTTTTGCTAGATGTTTTGTGAGAACATGCACATATTTGCATTACCTCAGTTCACTCTAATTGTATTTGTGACTAAATGTTGTGACTTCTCTTTCCATTCTTTGTCCTGAAAATATGTTATTTTTTCTCCATTCCAGCAACTTTTGCACTTAAAATCAGTGTAGAGCACAACAAAAAGACAGGCAAAAGTCAGGTGCTTTCTGCAGAGACGGTGAGCCCAGAATCCATTCCAGAGCGAGGGATGAAGGTCTACGACGATGGCCGCAAATATGTGTATGCACTGCAGTCTGAGAGAGATGAAGCAGTCAACAGTGCAACAGAAATGACGCCAACAGAGGTGGAAGAACTTCTGCATGAGGCAGCAGAGGAGAAGGTGCACCCTGAGGTGCACTATCATCAACCGGTGTACTCTGTACCTTACATGGGTACCAGACCATCAACACCAAGGAATCCATCTCAAACACTTCTCACAAAAATAACTCCAGAAGACCAGAATCTTCCCCAAAAATATCAACAAGGTTCTAGTTCAAGTGGCTACATTTTGGATGCAAACAGCAAAATGCTGTGCTTTAATACTTCAGGACAATCCAAGAATGAAAAGACTCGTTCTCCAGGGTCAAACTTTGGTGATAACAGGAAGACCGATCCCTCTCCTGTCTCATTTATATTCAGATCTGAAGGAACGCCTTCACCCATCCAACCAGTTTACAGGGACTTAGATCAGTTTAGTCCTTCTTTAACCAGTAAAAATGCTGAACGTAAACTTGTCAGCACCCTGCCAAAAGATCCCGAACCAGAATCTATTACGATGATCTTCATGGGCTACGAGAACGCTGCGGATGAAGAGGAAGATGTTAAAGCCGAGCTGGTTATGTTAGATGATGATGAGGAGGAGGAGGATGAAACTGACAGCTGTGGCAGAGTGGAATATCTGGCATTCCACCCAGAGGGATGCAATAGCAAAGTCTTCCAACCCAAAGTGGGTCAAGCCAAGGTTTCAAGAGGCAGAGATGTTGCTGAAGACGCCTGCAGACCAGCCTGGGAAGAGTTAGAGCTTCACAAGCCAACGTTCATTCACAAGTCAGGAAAACTCAGCTGTCATCTGCAGAACAGAGGCAGCTGGAGCCTGAAGACACCTGCAGCACCAGTGTGAGCAGGACCAGGATGATCTGTCTCTGTCGTCCAGCAGGTCCTTTGAGATGACAAAGACTTTACTGCCACCTTCAGTTTAAACGCTTCATTTATATCAAATCATTTTACGCTGCAGCATCCTAATAAATTTAGGTCTGTATTTTAGTTCAGACATTTTCATTGTTGTACAAAATTAAATTTGTGACCCTTTTGTGTAGTTTATTTTGTTAACATTTTTTTAGTATGTTTAAATTCAAGCAAGTTAAAAAAAAAAAAAACACTGAAGGTTTAATAGAGTCCATGATTTAGGGCTGAGGTTCACACCCCAGTTCTTCAAGTCAGTCCACAGTCCTACATGTTCTAGATCAGTACCATGCCCCCCC